CACAAATTAATAATTTTTAGGTCACAATTAATAATTTTTAAGTCACATAGTCAAAAATTTACGTCATAGTTAAATACTTGGTCACAAATAACCAAATACTTGGTCACATACCACTGACACTACCACTACAGTCACTTTTAACCACCCTCACCCCGTCGTCGCCATCACCACCACGGTCACCAACCAGATTCAAACCCACCATACACCACATCTGCACCATGCCGTCGCCACCCAACAAAAAAAATCACGTCACACCACAACCACCACCCAACAAAAAACCCCAAACTCGTCACCGCCACCACACCCCCACCAGTCGCGACGTCACCACCACCACCACAACTCCACTCCACTCCGCCACATCACACACACCCATAGCACCCGTCGCGACGCTGCTGTGAAAGTGTCGCACGACAGCGTCACAGCAGCAAAGATCCACCACCCCAACAGGTGCTCCAAGCGGTGGTCTTGAAGGAGAAAATTTCAAATCTAGCTGCTGGGCTTCTGCCTCGATCGTCACTGTGAATTCGACGATGGATTGTTGATGTGGGTGGTGGTCAACGGTAGGCGTTGGTCGACGGTAGGTGAGGGGAGATTTACTGAGAGAGAAGGGGAGAGGAGAGGAGGCGCGAGCAAGAGAGAGAGAGAGAGAGGTGAGGGAGTTGAGAGTGATAAATTAGGGTTAGAATTTTAATATATTACTTGATTTTTGAATAATGAAACTTGGTCCCTGATTTTTGAATTCCAATCTTCAAACACTTGAATTATGTAATTTCTCCTATTACAAATGTGTCGAAATAGATAACTTAGTTCGTCTCACTCGATAAGAACTTGAGCCAGTACTGTGCGAGGGTTGGACTCGAACCTAATGTGTCGAAATAGATCTTAGTTCATAAATACATTTTGCGATAGGTCTTTTAGGATAAGTCGACCGTTAAAAGCAAAAACTCTTCTAGTGTTAGAAAAAAAAGTATTATAGGCAGGGATTTGAGCGACTTTGTTGCTTTGTGATTTTGTATGTGCGATGCAAGCTATAATAGAAAATCAATCAAAATTTGACATAAAATTTGTCATTTTTGACAACAGAGTCACTTAAATACTCGTGACTCCTCTGACATGGATTCCAGTAGCACATTCTTTTTTCACCTTGATAATTTGCATCCCTCCGCCATTGTTGAAGAACTTGCCCTTTATCACTCTATGGATCGAAGACTTTATTCAAGATTGGTTCTAGATCTAGGTCGCGACCCTCATGAGTCCACATATGTCATGGCCTTTTGGATATGGCTGGAAAAAGAGGGCAACAACATGAATTTTGTTGGTAGAATTAGGGCCAGACAAAATTCCTGAATCAAAATGGTGTGTGCTGTCACAGACACCCAAAAATAATACTTTAACCTCTAAAACTAATGTAGTAGTGGAAGCAAGAGTAGATCACACGAAGAGTGTATAATTCAATATT